GGGGGGACTTACTGTCGGAACAGATTCATTAACTACCGGCAAGTATGGGAAAATTTTCTTTACCACAGAAAAATCCATTTTTTTACCAAAAAGAACAGTTGTTGTCCTTTTAATGTCTGGATCTTGCTTAAAGCTAGAAAGCAGCTGCTGCTTTTTTAACACAAATGTCAAACATTCTTACCGGTTTGGGTGTATAATGAAAGTTGGAAAGAGCATCTAACTTGATAAATAAGGATTGCATCATTTTTTTAATGTCTTCATGCTGAGGGTCTGTTTTATCTTCTTCTGTCTGAAAAAAGGAGCAGAAACATTTTTTCACATCATGAGTAATCAAGAAACTATATTTGCTTTAATCAAAGCAATCTAAATTCACCAAAAAGTAATATCAAGCTGTTGCACAAAAATTAAACTTATGTAATTTTAATACAGTGCCTGGACCAAAAAAATTAAAATTTATAAACTAAACACCTAATATTGTTTTTATTTGCTGTGCATTACCAAGATCTTCTTCGCTACATTATGATAGAAAAACACCAAACTTACACATTTCCCTCTCATGATCTTCTAAAAGCCCAACCTACCTCCTGTACTTGCTTTAAGTACTCCTGCTCATATATTTCTCCTAAACTCTGTTTACTCTTTTCCTGATCAAGCGTTATCCTCTTTTTATACTGGAATGCATCCTCTGTAGGCTTGATTTTCCTCTCCACATCATCGAAGGCCTGGAAAAACAACAACCCAGGATAATGATAAATAATTAATATACATAAATGTAACACAATGTTTTGAGTATTTAACCATTTCCAAAATTGAAGTAATTTTATGCTTCTTTAAATACACTTGAAAATTTCACTTCCGTTGCATATCACTTTGATGACTTTTACATATACATGTATTTAAATACTTAACAATGGGTAAAATATACTAAAATTGACATGCTTCTTTAAATACAGTTCACAACTTCACTTTTGTTGAATATTAGTTTGATGGCATTTACTTACATTTAAATACTTAGCAATGGGTAAAACATTCTAAATTTGACATTTGTTCAATAACAAAATTGATAACTCATTATATGGTTAAAATTACTTAAGACAAAGAAATTGCGAACTGGCTACATAGTTCCCAAGTGCCCTGATAAAACAGAATGATGCACTACAGTGTCTTTCATTAAATACAAGATAAAGAACATCTAATAAGTTGGCAGCAGGTCAGCTGTGTTGGCTGTCACTCACCTGATCTTTTATCCTTTGTTTAATGACACTTTCTAAACTGGCTGTAGTTTCCTCCGTTATGACTGGAGCTATAATTAACAAAATATGTGCTAAACAGGAAAACATATAAAGTAATTGAAAATTACATGTCCTATCAGAATAGTAAATGAACAATTTTTTATTGTCTAGATATTGATAAAACGGTTTAACTATTTAATAGCTAGGAACAAGTTGTGACACTTCAAGTTACTTATGATAAAGTAAGATGAAAAACAAATACAGGATTTTGAGAGAAAATGATTTTCAGCACACAAACAACAAGAATAAATTAAATACCTAGCCTGGTAGTGTGTTCAAACTCCAGATCTTCCTGTAACAAGCTGTTTTCTGGTCTGGCAGTTGCTGTGGTTTCTCCAGTCAACTGCCAAGGTTTCTGTGCCAGAGCAGTTTCTTCTAACTCAGAAATTCTTTCCTTCAACTGAAAAAAATGACATCTTTTTTTAAACAAAACACTTACACTAAAAAAAATGGTAATACAATATCTGTGTAATTTACTTATCATGATAAAGAATAAAAATGATTTAGAGTAAGATAATTTAAACACACAATGCCTCAAAGTAAATTGATCATGCTGTTGCAGTGAACTTTGATGTAATGAAACGGTATTTTAAGACTTGATAGAAACATCACATCATAATCTGAATTGTTTGAGACATTTAAGGAAGTGAAATGTTACAGTCTATAGCCTTTTAGGAGCGCAAATGTTGTCTTAACAACTTTAAATACTATCATCTTAGGTATCTCAAGATTTAAATTAAAAGCAATTTACTGCAAGAAATGTTACCTTTTCTTGCCTCTTCTCAAAGGAAGATTTTTCATGTATTTTCTTTCCTCCAAATATATCACCAATATCTTCACCTTCACTACTATCACTAGCAGCAAACAAATCTCTGCCTGATTGAACCCTTGTTTGGATTTCTCTCTCTTCATCAGTGCCTTCAACATTTTCATCATCCCTTTTAAAAAAGAGATAGTGATATGAACAGCATTAAAAGTTTTATTTTGTGTTAAAATAGACGAGGTTATCTTTATGGAAAAGAGGGGGGGGGGGAGCATTACATGAATTGTCAATAAATTAGTATGACAAATGTAGACTATTACCTTTGAAATGTAATTTTCATCAGAAATGTTTTTTTGGTAAATTTATCCACACCTCAGTGGAGTAGCCCTGATAAAGTAATGAGCATAGGTGAAAAAAAGGACTAGTAACTAGGTAAAGAGTACTTCATACTGGTCTAAATCTCCACTATCAACATCCTCTTCTTCTTCCTCTATCTGATCCTCCTCCTCAATGCTGATGTTCTGTTTATTAGACACCTGGCTAGATGGTTGATCAAAGAAATCAGCATACATAATATCCCCTTCGCTCTAAAATAATAAAAAAAAGCTTTAAGGATTAGCCATAAAGTGTCAGGCCTACCCAACTACCAGACTCTGCACCGAATGATCTTGAATTCACCGGTAGATTGGACCACACTAGTCTACCCATTTTCAAGGTGTGCATCAGTACGCGCTTTGAAGTATCAGACACGACACGGTCTTGCCTAGTGGGCAATGTGATAGTGATGATTCTCAGCAGGGTTGGAAAGTATTTCATCACCACTCAAAATTTGTTCGGGGTATGATACTGTGAAATGCGTACAGACGCACACCTTGAAAAAGGGGAAGTGTGGTCCGATCGACCGGTGAATTAGGGATCATTTGGTGCCTGGTAGTTGGGTAGGCCTGAGTGTGAGAAAAAAGTTGCAAACATACAAACTGTATTATTGAAGTATATAAATGAAGTATTATTAAAATCATAAGGCATCGTACTTAAATCANTGTAAAATAAGGGTTAAAATATATCTTACTTTATGATTTGATAGTTTGTCTACCACTGCCTCTAGCATTCCTATCCCTCCCTTTTTACTTTTAAATATTTAAATATAAAATGTCCAACACACTCAGTTCATAAAGATGAGTACTGGAAACCTAAATATGGGGCAATCCATGGGCTACTTAAGTCGCATAGACACGACACTTGTCGACAGTCAGACTCAAACAAAGTGAATCAGAAAAATAAATAAATTGTACCAATAATCTGTAAACATTTTTATATATTTTCAAAAGCCTCATAACCAATTAAAAACTATATGCTAGAAAGAAAAAATAATATTTACACCATCTGTGATATTGTTAACCAAAGAATAATACTGAAAAATGGACAGTTACTGAAAGCTCACCCTTTTTCACAATTTTTGTTCTCAGTGGTCTCATAAACGGAAGTCGTACAAGTGTAAAATGAGCATGCGTATGAGGTCAAACATGCACCAATATTATTTCAACTTTTCGAGGATTAATCGCCTGGAAATATATCCAATAAAAACACGATATGTGCAAGAATATGTATGGATTGTGTAGAGACAGGTTGATTGAATGAATGATTGATGCACCTAACAGAAAAACAGTTCGTTATTGTTCGGCTGCCCTCGTGACAACGCCTTTCGATAAAACAAAATGGCGGAGTTCGGCTGACATCGAACAACCTAATCAAGCACAAAAACGATGAATTGATTCATAGATTGATTGAGAAGAAGTGTAAAGAAATGGCGGAAAGGTAGGTGAAAGCATTTAGCAAACGTAATCGGAGTTTTCCTTCATATTAGTTGTTTTGATCGCCGTAGGGATGGCAATCTAGTTATGTTATTTGCTCTCCGACCGCAGGCACCTGTCAATAAAACGTTTAGTTGCCCGACTGTTAGTGTTTGAACATCCTGTTGTAGTGGAATGGATTGACAAGTGTTAAGCTTCAAGAACAAGCTAGTGTTCAGTTGTGACAATGTGGGATAAGTGGAATGAAACTTTCTTTTTGTCCCCTCATAAAATTTTAAGGTCAGGCTGGTTATTTGTGAAGCCATGTTGTTAATGTTGGAGCTATAAAATGGTGATTGATTCAAAGTTGACGGTATGGTATATATAACTGGTACTGTTAATAGTGGTATGGATAAATGGATTTCTAATGAATAGCTCCATAGCCCCATGTCTCTCTCTCTCTCTCAACTTTTGGGCCTTCTCACCCATACATTCACAAGATGTTATTTCTTCAGAGAAGATGATTCATAAGATGATAATTTTTCTTTATATATATATATATATATATATATATATATATATATATATATATATATATATATATATATATATATATAGGGACAGTCGGTCATCCGGGCACTTTACCTTAGCAACCGGCATCTGGGGTAAAACAAATCGGGCAACATGGCGGATCGCATTGACTTCTATGAAAAAGTTGGCAGACTTGGTCCGAAGATATCATACTTCACAGTTCCTGACCACTTGTGTCAGTGAAGTTGAGTTATTAACCTGGTTGATTTCCTTTACAGGCTTTTGTAATTAGCCGCTGCACACCTGGTTAAGAGATAAAATCGGCCTTAATTGCCGATCGTTATCTGTGATCGGGAATCTTACAGTGGTAGATTGCAAAGACTCATTTGCTTTCCTGGATGAGCATATTATTCACATCTCTTTGAAAAGAAAACCATATGGAAGCAACTGATAATATCAAGGAAGGTCTCAATTGTACTAATAACTGTTGACATTGCATATTGCTGACACATATGACGGGTAGATTTTCAAGCTTAATGAATTGAACCGGTACCGTTTAACTCTCAGGCACGCGTACAAAAGTGAAATAGTGGAAGCTTGCTGTGCACCAGGTGACACTACCAACCCATTAATAAAATCTTATGGGATTTGTTAAATTTCAAAAATCAACGGCAAAGTAAACGACTGTTGCAGGTTATAGGTCGTGCAAACGTGACTATAGACGGGATTGTTGATCGAAACAAAATTTGGTCATAGCTATACATGCACTACGAGATTTGTGTATGTGTGTAGGCCTATAGCTCATTTTATCATAGATAAGGAGAAAATCATTGTACCTTGTTTGGTATTTATGTTTGTCATTTGTTACATGAATTAATAAGTAGTATTTACAATAAATCGACATCTTGTGTTGGCATGTGTGACGGTATATCAATTCTTTTAGTTAAAATTAATGGACTATAACGTCGGACTTTTTTGTTGTAAGTTAATTGAGGGCATTATAAAGATAAGAAAAAATACATACGTCAATATATTGACAAACCTGTCAGTTAATGTCTAAATCTTTTAAGTTATCAAGTACATTATAAAAAAGTTGCCATAAATAAAGCGACCTTACAAACAGCTTTATTACCGTGTTTGATATTCAATTTAATTTTAATTCTGTCTTCCAAGATATTTCGCCAATTTTCGTACCAGAAAAGTGCACAATAAGATTGTAAACACTCAAAGACGCATAGCTGCAAATATTAATACAGGTAACACCACGTGTCTTCTCTTCAAAAACGTTAGCAAGCAACTGTTTATGCTGTCCTTCCAGGCTTGTATTTATATACATGAACTGTATACGGACCAAAGAGGCCATGGGACCGATGACACTGCCCCTATCCCGTTCCCCTGGCTATTGCAGCAGCAGGTGATTTAATCACAATTTATAGAAATCTTATTCTAATAACTTCTCAGTGTTGCACATTTCCACGTTCTAAGAAGCCATTCCTATATCACCAACTTATGTACATGTACCGGTATATACTTAGGCCTACGGTGGACATTTGCGTATGCAGTTGAGATCAATTTTATCCCGTAACAAGTTAAACAGTAGCTTATTACAAAGGCCTGCCAACTCAATAGTCCAGGTAAATGATTCAACCTGCCAGACACAAAAGGTCAAGCACTGCCTTTGCAAAGTCTTCTGCTGTAAACTTCCCGATCACAGATAACGATCGGCAGTTATGTTAAGGCCGATTTTATCTCTTAACCAGGTGTGCAGCGGCTAATTACAAAGGCCTGTAAAAGAAATCGACCAGGTAAATAACTCATCCTTACTGACACAAGTGGTCAGGCACTGTGAAGTATGATATCTTTGGACAAAGTCTGCCAACTTTTACATAGAAGTCAATGCGATCCGCCATGTTGCCCGATTTGTTTTACCCCAGATGCCGGTTGCTAAGGCGCGTGACGTCAGCCCGACTGTCCCTATATATCAGTTTAAGTGTTTTAGGAAGGCTTTATCTACTGGTCTGCAAAACATCTGTAGGTATATTTATGCCGAGGGAGATCCTTGTCCATTAGCTTTAAGTCCACGGTGATATTGTATTTCATTGCATATCAGTAGGGTTTATGGTTTATCAAGAATGTTCAAGTTTTATGAGTGATAGATAAGTTTGAACATATAATGGTTATATACACTCGATATGAGTTTGCCTGTATGACATTGAAACTAACAAATATAAAATACAGATATATGGTTGAAATGATTTCATGGTCAGGTGTCATCATGGAATAATATAAATTAACTTAAGAATGCACTTAATGTGTCTCCAAACTGCATTTTCTGCCTAATTTAATTTTCATTAGTCAGTCATCAGTAATGGGTATAGTTGACTCTGGCAAATGAAATGTGTCAGGGGATTTGAAACTCAAATTTGATAAACAGGTTTGAGTTTTGGAAGGTACCTAGACCTATGAAAAAAGGGGCCTTTAACCAAATATAACCAAATATAAAAAAATATTACTTTGTCTTAGGAAACTATAAGCAGAAATGAATATTTGATCAGTGTTTGCTAATTACTTAAAAATTCATCAAAAGGATAAATATTTGACTGTGGTCAAATATGTGGTAGGTCTCACAATATACAGTGATATAATAACCTGCATTAAAATTAGTGGACTGAGGCATGACTGGCAGCATTGTACGGGCTGACTCCTAGTCACCTGCTTTGCCACTGCAATTCATTTGTGGAGTTATTTTTATTCTGCCATGTCAGGTGTATCACATCAAGTCTATCCACACGCACACACACACACAATGGATAATGTTTACTGATCTCGTGGTTATTTTAAGCACTGCTGAAAACTTGATTCTTCTAAAATCTTTTTTTGAGCAAATGCCCCTTCTGTAGATTTAAAGGTTGACTGTACCAGGAAATAAAGAAAACAAGTTTGGAAAATGAAAGTTGTTTTTTAATGAGTTTCTGTTGATGACAAGAGCAGCCTGCACAGCACTTATTTTATCACAGCAAAACTTTATTCTATTACCTTATCTGGGAACAACACATATTGCACTTTTTTACTCACTAGCAAGGTCGGAAAAAAATGTGACATCTCCATCCCACCCCATCTCATATAAAATTACTTTTTAAAAAACAATAAGCAAACAAATGGCAATTGCAGTTTTAGCACACAACTTCAAGGGAAATGCCATAATAGTGACCATGCCTAATGTCACTGAGTTTGATGACTAAATTGGATTGTTAGTATTTGTTGGCATTCTGCATTGTGATTTTCATTGATGCTTACTTGACCCCATCACTCCTGTTCATTGAGAAGGAGTGCAACCAGAAAATCAGTACAGCTGATTTAAAGGAAGAATCAANAAACACTCAGAGACAGGACCAGAAAGGCAAGGATGGCACTTTTTTTTTACCCTCCCTCTCTCTCAGTGACACTTTACAAACCTCTTTAGACTTCTTCATATATGCCTCCCTAATCTCCTCTTCAGTAGCTGTGGGATTTAGGCCAAGGGCATTGTAATGATTGGTTTTATTGGTTTGAGTGCTGAGGTCTTGATGTCTGGAAATTGGAACACATTTGATTAATACACATGAATGCAGTTTTTTTTTAACTACAGCATACCCTTTAAACAACGAGGAAACATTTTAACATACTGTACTGTTATGTGTTACCTCCCTCCCCCCCCCCAACCTAATAAAAACATAACTCACTGTACCATAATACAATACTTATACTGAATTAGGAAGATTTCAAGCTGGATCTCATTTTATATAACTTCTTGTGTCCTGCCAAAATAAGCAATTTATATATGATAATGCCAATTCATATATGATAACTGCCTAATAAAATGAAACTTCATTCATTCAAAATTATTTTCCAGAGACAGAAAAATAATTATTTGAAAATGAATGATTCATTCACAAATCTGAGAGATTTGATAACACAGAAGATATAATATTTGATGAAGCAGGTCAGTTCATGACAGAGAATATGTTCCAGCCAGAAAACGAACTACTGCGCATAATCATGTTACTTACAGTTGGCACTAAAATGGTCTAGAAAACGTTTTGCAATTTTCTTTTCAGGTGGAAAATTATCCCTGACATAATTCATCATCTTCATGCATTTAAAACTTGATTAATTGCTGTATTCAACAGTAGTACAAATCATGGGAGCATAACTGGTTGAAGAGCAAAGGAATTTTACCTTATTCATGCACAACAATATTGATGGCAAACTTATATTCCAGCAGTGTGCAAATTTAAGACAGTCAGGGTGCATTACATCATTGTATAAGGTTAGGTATGAAGCATGTTAATTATATTTGTGTCAAGTTTCCAGAAAATTATAAGGACGAGTTTCTTAAAATCTTCAAGTTAAAGATGCATACTAAGTCAATTTTTTGTCACAAAAACCAACCAAATGCCAGCATATAGTTTCAAGTAGTATAACTAAGAGAATTACCAAAAGGCATTGTTTAATTTTACCCGAAAATGATGTTGAACGGATTTTTCTGCTAGCATTCTATGCTGTATGTCAATGGGGCATTAAAGTAGGTCACGAAAGTAGGTTAAATTTCTGACCAAAAATTTAAAGAAAGGAGCAATCTAAAGCTTTTTTTATGGCTGATTGAGTGATCTATTCAGTTTATCCCTTGGCATGTTGAATTTATTTGAGTCGTATAAGAAACTTGTAGAAGTGGTTTACATGTCTTACTGGGAATCCACGCTCCACCAATGCTCGGTTCGTATGTACCTTTAAGAGGTGAAGATATTACTTACCGTACGAAAGACAACGGGGTTGCTTTCATCCAAAGTCGTTTGGACAGGTCTATCTTTGGTCCTGTGCTCCACAAAAAGGACCATACTCTCAAGGACAGGGGCATAATTTAAGTTTCTTTTATGTTTACATTCTCATATCTCATTCCCTCCGTCCTTCGTCAGCTGGACAAGTTAGCACCGTAATTAGGTACTCTCAGATGTCGTTAAATTATGACTGCACCGACTGAAGGCTAGGCTCATGTTAAAATAAGCTCAAAAGGCCTATTAAATTAAAGCTTATTAAAGTGTACAAATATAATATTTTTTTCAGTAACGAAAAGACCATTGAAATGAAAGAAACCAATAAAGATTAAATAAACGTGGACACCTTTACTTTTTAAAAAAGATGATTGAGATATTCTTTACCTGTTCCTGGCCAATTGCGATTTATTTTACAAATATTTTTTTAACCATTTCTTTTATCATTAGAATTCACTATTTGCCTATTTTCCAGCTCTCTTTTTATTATTGTATTTGTATGACCACACAGTAAAGAAAATCTTTGGACAGTTACAAAAGAGTTCGTTTAAAAAGGTAGTATTGAAAAAAAATCACGTACTGTAATTAAGCAGTAAATCTTTTCACGTTTTGAATCATCTTTAATGAGAACATTACGTAATTTGCTATCGCACCAGGATTATAGAGTTCTGAGTTTCTGTTAACAATTCTGATGGGCTGTCGAGTGGACCCGAGTCACCCTGAGCTTCAGAGCTAACTTGACACTAACCTTTTCACTGTAGCCTATCTCCATCGTGTCAAGTAACTTGACACGATGGAGATAGGCTACAGTGAAAAGGTTAGTAACTTGACACGATGGAGATAGGCTACAGTGAAAAGGTTAGTGTCAAGTTAGCTCTGAAGCTCAGGGTGACTCGGGTCCACTCGACAGCCCATCAGAATTGTTAACAGAAACTCAGAACTCTATAATCCTGGTGCGATAGCAAATTACGTAATGTTCTCATTAAAGATGATTCAAAACGTGAAAAGATTTACTGCTTAATTACAGTACGTGATTTTTTTTCAATACTACCTTTTTAAACGAACTCTTTTGTAACTGTCCAAAGATTTTCTTTACTGTGTGGTCATACAAATACAATAATAAAAAGAGAGCTGGAAAATAGGCAAATAGTGAATTCTAATGATAAAAGAAATGGTTAAAAAAATATTTGTAAAATAAATCGCAATTGGCCAGGAACAGGTAAAGAATATCTCAATCANAACTTGACACGATGGAGATAGGCTACAGTGAAAAGGTTAGTGTCAAGTTAGCTCTGAAGCTCAGGGTGACCCGCGTGTGCTAACTTCCAAATTGCTGCATTTGAAGATGCTATGCATTCAAAATTGATATCACAGCAATTATCAGTTTTCTCCTAAGAATACGAGTCAGTTCGTTTATACAGTACTTGATTTAGGGGTTTCACAGAGCAGACACCGGAAAAAGAGAGACAGCTACGTTAACGTTACACACACACACACACACACACACACACACAAACAAACACACACACACATAGGACCGTCCTATATAATCATTTTCAGGAAGTCAAAATGGAAGAGTGCGTGTGAGTGTGTACTCGGCAGTAAGCTTTGCCTCTATTGTTAGTATAGGAAACACTTGCAGTTCCATCACTTTATCACCTTTTTTATCACAAACATAAAATCAAATATTTTATCAAGTGCACAAGCATTTGTTTGGTCCATTTTCGTCATATATGGTATCAATACAAAAAAAGCATATAATAAGTCCCTGCCTCCTATACTGTATAAATAAGGCATTATTATGTACAGACACAGATGTGTCTGTACATATTGCCATCACCTGCGTCTGTCGTCGCCGTCGCCGTCGCCGGCGCCGTGCACTTTCCTTGTNGGACCACTATTTTAGTAGTTATGCTTTTTTTTTTCACTTTTCAGCATATATGCAACACTGTAAACACAATATAAGAAAAACAGATAGGCCAATTGTCATTAAACTCACAGGAGTGGTCATTCCTGCTAAATCGCAGGAGTTCAAAAATCAGCATAATCGGGCCATTATTTTAAAGAAATGCCGTTTTTATGTACAGACACAGATGTATTTTACCTGTTGAGCATAATTAAAATTTGATGTTGAATTTGCAGTTTAACATAATGTACTTTTGCATCAGAATTGACAGTAGCCTTTTTTTGTTATCTCCTGCTTTTTGTCTGTACATTTGACAGCTTTGCTGCCTTGTTGTAGTTTGAGTTCAGTCATGGATTATCACGTAGATAGTTGAGACATCAGGTTTATGGACTTCTTCATAACAGAAATGGCAGTCCTAGGAATGGAAGTTGGGGGTTAATGTGATTAGTACAGGTTAGGGTTAGTCAGAGTATCGGGGTTAGTAGGCTATATGGGACGAATGTCACCTGTACAAATTAATAGGGAACAGACTACCATCCCTGTCACACCTGATCTTCTCGATAAATTTTTAAATACTTCTCACAAATGACGGCATTCGTTTAATCTGTGTACCCCAAATCAATTTTAAAGTTTTTAGCACGCTTTTCATACTCGGAGTTGAAAGTTTCATTTTGGTGCACGGTAAATACTCCTCTCCAGCCACCTACTTTTCCTGAAAAAAAAAAAAAAAAAAAAAACCAAGTGAAAATGATTCAATTCTATGAAAAGGCACGCAAAAAGTCACTGTGGTAGTTTTGTTAATCTTGTGACTATCTTTAAATTGTTTTTATAATGAACAAAATTACTGTCAACGTTATAAATGCTTGAGAGTTGTTCTGGCACACTTTTTCCTCAAGATGTCTCCACAGATAAAAAGGCTCTCCTGAAATCACTACAGCACCCTTTACACTGGACGGCGTCCTTTCTGCGTCCTGTGGCAAGGCCCCGTTTGAGAGTAAAAAAAAAACTATATTTTTTTGTGCCGACAACTGGCTGATCATTGAGCATTCATTCTGCAACCAAAGCGATGCTTGTGCCTCCTTACTACGACCACAGCGATGCCACTTTCTTGGTCGCACAAAGGACGTCAGGACGTCGTCCAGTGTAAAGGGGGCTTAAGTGGCAGTGCTAAAAACGTTTTGGACATAACTGAGATGACGCAGAAGGATAGTTCTAGATGGACAGTGGTTCTAACAAGACATTGTGGCCTCCCCCATAGCCTGGCTGTGAGAGAGATTTCAGATGAGACTGATCAGCAGGAGGTGACTTGGGGTGGGCAGGAAAATCCCAAAGGAAGAAGGTGTTGGAGCAGTTGACAATTTTGTGCTTCGTGTGCAAGTGTGCATCCCATGCCACGGAGGCCATTTGGAGCATATTTTTTTTTAAATGAACATTACTTTTATGCAAAGGGACCAAGATAACTGAAACTTTGAAGAATGATCATGCTCATACTGGACTAGGATTCAATAATTTTTTTATTTGTTATGCTGTTTTTTAGAGGGGAATGTCAACCTGTATGAAAAAATTACTCTCTTTTCGAGGAAAAATTCTATTTGCTGTGTAAATCCCGGACAGGATACCTTTAAGTAACATAATTAGATCAAAAGTTAAATCGACGCACCTTTCCTATACATTCCATCGCTTTCAGGTCGCCATCCTGACAACAACTCGGTTTTGTGCTTTTTCATATTCTCAAAGGAGCATTGCTTCGCAACCTCGGCGTAAAACTCATCTGACTTTGGATACCCGATAAATTCTGCTACACGTTTTATCTCCCCGGTCAAATCCTAAAACATTAATAAAGTGGGGTTATAAGCTTTAAAAGCGTGTTTTGGTATCAGGCAAGTCCGTAAGATAAAAGAATTGTATTCTATGCAGCGAAATCGACCTATATTTTTCAAACAACCGATTAATATAAAAAACGTCATTACTGATACTGAATCAAAATACAACTAAGGTAAAAATACCCGAACCCGAGTGAAACTCTGTTCTTTGACTGTTAAGATAATGTTAAGGATCAGTGGTAATTAAATTCTCGTTAGAATATCACGGTGATCCATGCCTTCGATAAAAACCTGGGCGAAGATAACGGTTAACAGATTTAAAAAAAGGAATTGAGTAACCTGTTTACCTCTTTCAAATCCTCAAACTTGACAATTTGCACATTGGAGTGGTTTTCAACAACTTCCAACCATTTCTCGACGTGATCAAACCAACTTCCACAATCAACTACAAAAATCAAACATTTTGCGCTTCCCATTATTCTAAAAAAAGATCTTAATTTCCATACACAGTATTTTTTATCTACTAAAAAACAAACATGCCAAATTAAAATGCAAACATCACGTAGTCAAAAATAAAAAATAATAATAATAATTATAAATAAATAAAATAATAATAATAAATAATAATAATAATAAAAGTCCGGTTAAACGCGGACCTCTAATTTAAACTAATTTTATTTTTCACATGTGTGTGTACCACCCGACCACAAAATGTAAAAAAGTTGTATTTGATCGTCTTTTGATAACATCAAATTTAATTGCGTCGCTTTAAACGTTAGTTATGCTATGATTTTATATAAAAAAACTTATTTTTCCAGTCGGAGTGCTCCTCAGCAGATTTTATCCGACGCAGATGTCAATCGTCGTGTTGGGATAATAAATATTGCTATATACACCATACAATATGACCTACCTTTGTTTTCCATAAACAACGAGAAAAATCCGTTCCAAGTTCCTAAATACGAATAATCTTCTATGTTCCGCGTGTGATAATACATAGATATGGCAGCATCTTTGGGATGTCGGACGCTGTACAGCACTTTAGATTTAGCCAAGGCTTGTTTGGGAAAAAACTGATGTGGCACATGGGTGTTGAGAACGCGCGGCGAGGGCATGGTTTCAAGGGCGTGGCCGGGTCGCAATTCAAACATGCATTCTTCCTTAACGCGAGAAGAGAGTTGAGGTTTGTCACTTGTCAGCATCATGATAATCTCCCACAACCAGTGAGTTCCTAAAAATATCAAATACATTGGTCTGAAATGCATTAGATTTGAAATATTTCATGTAAGGTAAGGTCAACAATGCATGGTTTTAATCATTCATTTGCATTCATCTTAAATGAGTAAGGACTAAACTATTCGTGCATCCAACTTATTACTTCAGTAAACCTGATTTTACAGGAATGTTTGGCATATTGTTGATAGAACTGCACACACCGATAACGTCCACTAGATCTTGCAATTCACTGACAAATGAAAGCATGTAATAAAATAGCTTCTTTATTGTTATCTAATGCTCCCATTTAAAAATAAGATAATCACAACAAAACTTGGAGAAGAAAGAATTACCCGATTTGGGCCAGTTAACCACCCATATGTCATCCTCTCTTGCTTCAAAGTGATCAGGATTTTCTACAGTTTCCTGCAGACCTGCAAATAATCTGTTAAAGGGCACTCCATTCAACTCTGTCAAAGATACCGTGTTTCCCTCGCAGTCTGTGTACTTGTATGACTTGGGAAGTTTTCCTTGCCAATAGCGATAAAACATATTCTTAAGATCTGTGATAATCCATGGAAACCAATAGATGTCTGCAAACACTGTACACAACATGCGAAGTAAGCCCATTTTCGCTTCTGAGGTTGTGAATCCACCTATAATCATAAGGTATTAGTAATTTTTTTCAATCCTCCTGTCTTGTGGGGGTGGGTGCAATCTTGGACATAATAATTGTCCATGGTGCAATGCAGCACTAATCTTTGCTTGGCTTTAGAAATCATTCTGATTCACATGTAAATGATAGTTTTCACAACAGTTTAAGCTTTTACATAGAGTAAAAATGCGTACAAACCTTAGACCGAGTACATGTTACTGGACATCTATGTTTTTCGAAACCTGTCTGTGACATGGGTTTATGAGATTGCCATAGAACAGACAAGAGAAAGTTTGAGACAGAAGAAGTTGAAATATAATTTCAAAATGACCCCCAAAATCTGAGGTTCTTTGATTTGGGTGCTTTAGTCAGTGCATGCTTGACACTGTGATAACGAGACAAAAAGTGGAAAAATCCATATAATACATTGGTAACACATAGTGAAGGAACACATTCTAATTTGGCTACTTATGTCCCTGGACCCGTTAACGTTTACACCTCGAGCTCGCTGCGACATTTCTACGACGATCACAACATTTTGGTAGGCCTAACTTTCATTATCTGTTTTGGTCGTCTCTTCGCCTTTACAGGGAACACATAGCTCTTTAATTTTTTTCTTACATTCGCCAGTGAAACATTCTTTATAAGTTAAGCAAATTTAGACAGTACCCTATCATAGCGGCACGTGGGAATTTGAGAGTTTAACACGACCGGTGGGTGGCATTGGGGTGTGATTGAAGACCTGTGAGACCTAGTTAATATCGATAATACTCTCTAGCGATGGCCACTGATTGCAAGGCATTTGCAATTCTTTTTAACAGTTTCTGACGCATGCAAACCTCTAGGCGACCGATTTAGAGTGATGGAGGCCATGAGAGGCGACTTGGGAGACTGTCCAGAGCACGATGTCACTGCCCTGGCAACCCAAAAGTCTGTGTATACCACCGATGGCGACAATACGTCAAAATCGTTCTTCGAGAGGGCGCAAGCCCGGTGTAAACGTCATTTTATAAAGTGAACTTGACTTCACTAGTGAACGACTCTATAGGGGGTGCAAAAATACAAACCACGCTTTAAGACTGGAAGTGAAGACCTGAAACGTTCGATTCCCACAGGACTTAGTTCAGTTTGGTCGAGTGCCCGGCTTGAACCAAAATCATGCCAAATAAATAAAGTAGTCTGAGAGGTGTGCGCCCTATAATTGGGTCATGCTATCAGTGGCATCCAGTTTACCTTTGAGATTATGTCTATAAAAATTAAACAATGACTTCAGATGACTTGTTTGCTAGTCAGCAAGTAGCTTATTTTATTTTAATGTATTTAGCCTTTTGTCCGCTTTTGTGTTTGTACAGCAGTAAAAGAGACACACACACACACACACACACACACACACACACACAAAAAAAAAAAAAAAAAAAAAAAAAAAAAAAAAAAAAAAAAAATCAGAGATTTCTCATTCCAGTTTTGATGAAGTTGCATATTCAGTTGGATCCCCTGTGTTATGGAACCCTTGACCACTGCCAGCTTTCCTACGCAATACTAGCCAATACACCCCATGCATGACTTGGGTGGGGTGCGTCCCGTCGACCAGAGACAGAAAATTGGGAAATTACTTCTTACCAGCCGTTCTCCAAACCCTTACGCGTCAATAAATTCTGAAAACGCTAAATTTGCTTTCATCTAAGAACAGTATCGATTCCCAGTTTTTGGCCGGTGTCCATGCCAGAGTTTCAGTTTACCATCTGGCTCAACGTAGACGGTTCCTGGCAGTGATCACTGGTCTCCTAACAAAAACCCTGCTGAAATAACTTCTGACGGTGAACTCAGGGTGTGTGCTGTTCTTGTAAAATGTTGCAGTCAAGTTCCTAAATGCTATGAAACGTTTTTTAAGAGGAAAGCGTATTAACATTCTCTCGTCTCTGGGCGTGGTTTCCTTCGGACTGCCTTACCCAGGCAATTTTTCCTATGTGCCTGTTTTGTTATGATGTTGTCTAATCCTCTGAATGATTCTCATGGAACAACTCAAGCTTTTGGCATTTCGGCGAGTCAAAAATCCCTCCTATGTCAACCGCTTGGTAAAAATGCGTCCCTCTCAATTAGGAGCCGCATGTTAAAAATTATTGGGATTGGGGTATTTCAATGATTAAGCTAGGTAGGTCAAAATTCTACTACTTACATCTCCATTTTACACGATAGTCGTTGTTATGTAAATTTAAAATTAATTCTCTGGTTACCCTTGTCGCAATGTGCATGATTGCGTAGGGGCGACAGACGAGTATACATGTAACAGACACAGGTAAAATTTCACACCCTGTAATCAAGAGTAAAGATTCTAGGATAAAAACGGCACTTATAAACTTATGATTACAGTTACCAATAGCTCACAAAGTTCTCTGATTACTGCTACTTGAAGGAATTACAACTCTTCGTATGAGATTCAAAATTTCACAATAAATATAATAAATTCCATTTTACCATATTAACGGGGGTTATCGCAATTATTTTGAAATCTGTTCTTGTGATCAGACCACGTGGATCTTCATATATGGCTATCCTCCGTAATTATCTCTTAAGAGAAAAAAATTACAATCGACAATTTTGAATGTTGGAACGGATGCATTCACCATTAGTTAGTATAGGAACACAGTCATTTACCCCAAAAATCCGTTTTATTGCGCTTTACCCGCCAAAAATGAATAGTTTTTATCCCTTTAACAAATACCTCTTTGTAAGAGATATACGTTTGACACTTAAGACTTAGGGGGCGTCATTGATAGACAAGACCAAACTAATGCAAATATACACATAGCTACATACATTCTGTATCACATACAAATAAAATCAAATCTTTGTGCGAGTACGCAAGCATTTGTATGATTCTGTAAACTTATGAATTAATATGTCAAAATATTGGTTTTGACACCTCCATATAGGTACATAAAATATTTATTGTGAGTTTGTTTTGAGTTATGAATTATCACATAGTTTGCCGTGACATCAGGCTTTGAAACCCGGGTCTTTTTCAAACACTTCTCACAAATGACGGCATTCGTTCAAACTCTGTATCCTAAATCAATTTTAAAGTTTTTGGCCCGCTTTTCATACTCGGAGTTGAAAATTTCATTCTGTTGTACGGTAAATACACCTTTCCAGCCGCCTACTTTTCCTGAAAAAATATAATATACGAATCATATATAAATGTTAACTATCCAATTCTATGAAAAAGTACACAAGGAAATCATTGTGGTCTCTTTATAAATCTTGCAATATTTTTTGTTTTGTTCTTTTTAATCGAAAAATTAGATGCTGTCAACGTTACAGTGCCATGCAAATCGCTAATATGGCAGCAGTCAAAGGATTTCGGAGTGGAAAATCAAGAAAATGGGGATATCCAAAAAAGTTTTAAAAATGATGGCCTATGCTTTAAATTTTTTTCTTTTTTTTTTTTTATTACGTAAATTGGCAGGAAGGACAGGAGTTAGCAACATAATGAGGTTAAATCTTTATGAGCTCACCTTTCCTATACATTCCATCGCTTTTAGGTCGCCATCCACTCAACATATCGGTTTTGTTCTTTTTCATATTCTCAAAGGAGCACTGCTTCGCAACCTCGGCGTAAAACTCATCTGACTTTGGATACCCGATAAACTCTGCAACACGTTTTATCTCCCTAGTCAAATCCTGAAAATTGAATAGTTTTCAAACATCTTATGAATAATTAGTGTAAACATCAGTGTATACATGTACTTAACTCTCTAGTTTCTATGCAGAATGAAAGTTTTGGTCTGACCATCACTTGTAAGATTTGTGAACTTGGGGAGGTACAGTATAACGTTAGGATGAAAAATTAAGGTTGCTGCCGTATACTTGACACCGACCTGAAACCCATCGAGACTTAGTTAAGTGACTGTGAGGATAAAGTACGGATTTTAGTTGGAAATTCTTGTTGAAATATCATGTGTAACTACCTTTATATTTAAAACTTGATCGAGGACAACGGATAAAATAATTTTTAACGGAATTGAGTACCATACGTACCTCTTTCAAATCCTCGAACTTGACCAGTTGAACATTGGAGTGGTTTTCAATAATTTCCAACCATCCCTCGACGTGATCAAACCAACTGCCACATTCAACTGAAATACATTTGTTAAAACTTAATGTTACCCTAAAGAATATCGACTTTATAAATAAATAAATAAACAAATAGAAACATAAAATCAAACATTTTGCGCTCCCTACCTTTTCTGAAAATAATTACTTTACTACAAACCAGGTCAACAGTAAAAATGGACTTACAAATCAAAATACAAACATCCCACTTGAATTATACTGAATTAAATTTAATATTATCAGACCACAAAAACTGTACGTGTTTATGTTTGATCGTCCTTTGTTAATATCTGCTTTTTAATGGTTTCTTTTTAAAAGTAAGTTTGGTTAATATTTAATACGTAAAATCTAATTTTTCACCAAGCTGCTCCTTAGAAGATTTTGCTAGACACAGATGACTATATTACCTTTGTTTTCCATAAACAACGAGAAAAATCCGTTCCAAGTTCCTAAATACGAATAATCTTCTATGTTCCGCATGTGATAATACAGAGATACGGCAGCATCTTTGGGATGTCGGACGCTGTACAGCACTTTAGATTTAGACAAGGCTTGTTTAGGGAAAAACTGATAAGGCACATGGGTGTCGAGAACGCGCGGTGAGGGCATGGCATCAAGGGCGTTGTCGGGTCGCAATTCAAACATGCATTCTTCCTTGACGCGAGAAGAGAGTTGAGGTTTGTCACTCGTTAGCATCATGATGATCTCCCACAGCCAGTGAGTTCCTAAAATATCAAATACATTAGTAATAGGTATTTATCTTTAAGACCTGAAATGCTTAATGTTACTAATTCATGGCTACAATAATTTATTGCTTTAATTGCTTTTTAAATGAATAAGGACTAAAAATCCATGCATCCCACTGATTTTTTCCTGTAACTTGTGACTTGTACGAACATTTCGCATATTGTTGATATAATTGTCTAAACCGATAACATCCATAAGTGCGTTCGATTAACTTAAAAAAAAATGAAATCACCTAATGAAGTAGACCTTTTCGTCCCCCGTACCCTATACAAATTTTAACATTTCAACGCAACTTGATAAAGGAAAGAAGAAAGAATTACCCGATTTGGGCCAGTTAACAACCCATATATCATCCTCTCTTGCTTGAAAGTGATTAGGATTTTCTACAGCGTCCTGTAGCCCTAGAAATGACCTATCAAAGGTAACTCCATTGAACTCTGTCAAAGATACCGTGTTTCCTTCGCAGTCTGTAAACTCATATGACTTGGGAAGTTTTCCTTGCCAATAGCGATAAAGCATATTCTTAAAATCTGTCATAACCCAAGGAAACCAATAGATGTCCGCAAAAATTGTATACAACATGCGAAGTAAGCCCATTTTCCTTGTCGATGTTGTGAATCCACCTATAATCATAAAGAAAACTGCTGATTGTCAAAAATTGCGTTTTGAGGGTATGATTAAGAAGGTGTTTATATGGGGTGGTGGTGGTGGTGGTGGTGAGGGGGGGTTGGTAATGGCAAATATAACTGTTTCGGTCGTGTTTGATTTCTTGTAGATAAAAACTTTTTACAGGTGTGTTTGTACTTAATGGTGAATGTTGAAATAATTATCTTTCTATTTTAAATAACAGCTTCAGAATATTTTTTCAAAATGACAAGTCAATGAGGAATCTGCTTCTATATATGTTTGATTTTTGCTAAAGCCATCACTGCGCTGGTGTGGCGAAACTGGGTCCAAGTTACAGTCCTCTGTTAAGAAGTAGAAGTAGTTTAGAATAGTTTAGAATGTGTTGTTTGTGGTTTTGTCAATACGGGAATCTTTTTCCCGTCGCGCGAGATAGGTATCAAACCACCCTTGCTGGCTTGTATGGCCCCATTCAGAATAGGGGACTAACTAGTCCGAAGGTCAAATATGGCCGACCCACTTGAATACTACCTCACAGGATATCTATTCAGAGTCTATTAACGGCAAGCTTTGTAGTAGGTCGCCATATTTGACCCTCGGACTAGTTAGTCCCCTATTCTGAATGGGGCCTATTATTGCTTTAACCGCTCATGACGTGGCAGGAGGGGTTGGAGCTTTGTAAACAGTACATGTAAAAAAGGTCAAGTCTGCTGACCGAAATTGACTGCATTGCCCGAGAAGGTTTGTGCGCTGATTTTATAAACAGCTTAGCTGAGGCTGATGGACGTTCGAAAAATTAGACGAAAACGTACATCAAATTAAATAACCTTCTACATCCTACGGCGCAGAAATAGCTACAATTTCTGTCTGTATGTTGGAAACAAGTACAAACGTGCTCTTTAATTATTACTGATACACAGGGAACTACTGCAAGAGAAAGTTAGTTTGACTTCACTTGTGAACGACTTGACATACGGCTGTACACAGGGTACAGTATATACTAACCACACTTTTTGGCTGGCACCAGTGATGACCTGGGAAGTTCGCTCCTTTCAGTATCTTAGGCCAAGTGCTAAAACTAGAACAAGTAAGCATCAGTGACGGTGAAACATGCTGAGCACGAAACCCGCATCATATACCTACGTGGAAATGAATAGACGCCGTCGTCTGAAACGTGTTGAGTACTCTTTAACTAGGTCATGCCGTTGGCAAAGTCGAGTAAGTGTGTGCTAAATAAATCGAGTAAGTGTGTGCTAAATAAACAAAAATTTATACGCGAGTCAGGAGCAAGAGCGAAGCATCTTTTTTTTTTTTTTTTTTTTTTTTTTTTTTTTGCAATTCAACTTAATAGAGCACTATTGTTTAAATTTTGGATACCACAATTTGTTTTCTTATTTCCCCCCTTTTCTTTGATAGAACAAATCGTCAATCATTTACATTGTGCACTACTTCACAAAGGCGTTCTGAAACAGGCTTGGCCTATACATTTATAAAACACCAGAAGAAAATTCACATTAACTCAAACCGCGACAAGTTAAACTGCAAAGAATTTTTATTATATTATATTTTTTCATTAAAACGATTCGATATTATGTGTCGTGATAATAGGAAGATTAGATAATGGATAAATAACTGAAAAACTGCGAGTAATTTTTTTCTAAATCTATTTCATTTTTACCGAAATAAAGAGTGAAGTAATTGAGTACAGAATAAAACACAAAACTTGTTGAATAAACTGCGTAAAATGCCCTTATTGGCGTCCTCTTTCGACTCCAGATCCTCTCACTGTCGCGTAGTGGCTCGCTTTTGTTCTCAGTCAAATGCCTCTGAAACTACCTTAGGGCATTTTCTTAGTGTTTTCTACTAGACGTTCTTTTATCGCAAACGAAAGTCAATTTCTACTTTTTGAAATTCTGAAATAAATAACAATAACACAGAAGTTCAACTGGCAGCTCTTTATTGAAAACCGATCACGCTGCCCCATGACAAGTGGCTTTCCAGGTGGGCCTTTTTCTGAACTAAATGTTAAAATCACAGCTAAATGAATACACACGTTGCATAAACTGATGGCCTTCTATAGGGATACGACTCCAAAATTAACGTGGCGTTAAACACGTGCTGTCGTAACGTAATCCCTCGTTTTCTTCTTCATTAGTTCAGCTAAGAAAGCTTATATATATATACTAAAAAATAATGGACAGGAGATACCGATAGTAACATTATAAATCAGTTTTTTTATAATCAGTATACCATGCTTCACTGTACATACGTTTTGTATATGAGACTAAGTGGTCAAAGACAAAATACTTCACATCCGTTCCTTTACATTTTGGAGTTACGGCAGTGGTGTAATCTTTAAGCTTTCACATTTCCCTTTTTTCAACAATTATTACCGTCATAGCACCTTCAAAGTTGCCTGGCTTATTTGGGAGTATATTGCACAATTAATACAGTCATACGTGTAAGCAATTATCTACTACAGTATTTTATAACGTAATGGTAAGCAAACGATCCACCGTACACCTGTTGGTTTGTCCCCACGACAGCAGCAGCACAAAGAATTTCACAGTATACGTATTGGTCCGGTATAAACTAACTAAAGCAACAGGGATCATACAAAGCAACAGGGATCATAGCAATAATCTTTAATGTTTCAAGTATGGTCACAGCAGAGTGGAAAGCCATTTCTAATTCCTCTTTATCATTCCAATACTAATATAACTACAGCAATAAAAGTTCACTTTTTTCAAAACTAAATGATAAGTACCTGAAAATAACCCTTTGCAAAATTTTGAATAAATAAATAATTCATGAAATGAAATAAAATGTCAAAAATACTAGACTGTACTCCTTTCCAGATCTAGCCAGATACAATATTTCAATGTTTATTCAAATTAAGTAATTTGCAAAATAAATACAACTTCCAATCCCATCATCAAGTGATGCTGATTGGTAACACAACATGAATAAATAATTTGTTTACCATTTTCTCCAAAAAATGGAACCACTTCAACATAATAGCAGCACAAGCTGACATCCTTTTACAATGTGAATCTTTTGCATTTTTCTACAGCGTGAAAAGCAGCCATTTACTTTTGGTGTCCTCTATGTCTCCACATCTACAATTTCATCAAGTCAAAGCTACATAAACAGTTACATTGAACATAAAAACTAGACTACTGGACTACGTGTAGACTTGTTTCTGTGGATACAGTCTCTCACATTATATAATAAATTCTAATGCAATTTATAACATTGCAGTGATAGACATGCTACATGGACAAGATTATCTCTGATATGGATATCTTTTAAGCCGTGTTCATAGCTTGGCTTGATATAATAATATATCT